AAAGGGGCCAAACAACTATTTGATAATAAATGGCTTCATATGATCATTACCCTTCAATAAAAGATTATTTTTTGGCATGATCAGTCATATTTTCATTATCAATGCCAAAATTTCACGATTTCTGCCAGGGTATGTAAACTTTTGAGCACAACTGTATCATCTCAAGGATTTACAGAACCCTCACTGAAATAGAGGGACCAGTATCCCAAAACTTTTTGGAGAAGTGGGAAATGGAGCTTGGAACAAAATTGAATGAGCAACAAAAAAATAAAATGTTTAGTTTAATACACGTGGTGGTGAATATGAATAAAGTTGAAATGAATTATAAGTGTCTAGTAAGATGGTATATTACACCCAATATGAGGCATAAACTAAGGCCAGAGATCACATCCCAGTATTGGAGGGGATGCGGGAGTAAGGGTACAATAGCACATATCTGGTGGGATTGTCCCGTAATACAGGAGTTTTGGAGGGAGATAACGCAGTAAATACAAGAGATCCAGAAGATTAGGGTACTGAGAGATCTTTGAGTTTGCCTATTTCATAAATCAGAGATGTCGGTGAAGCAATATAAAAATATGATACTGTTCCATCTTTTAAATGCAGCCAAAAGCCTTATTCCTAAATATTGGCAAACACCAGGGCCCCCAAAAATAAAAGGATGGATGGATAGAGTAGAGTACATACATAGAATGGAAGAATTATATCATATAGATGTGGATAAAATGGAAAAATTTAAGAAGGTCTGGGAAGAATGATATCATTTCAAAAAATCAAAAAGATTTCTGGAAGCGCTTGGAGTGTAAGAGGGAAAAAAGAGGGGGAAAAAACGAAAAAAAAGGAGAAGATAAACAAGAATTTGAAAATGATAGGAAAGAAAGAGGAAAAGATTAGGAGGAGAAACAGTAAGATAGATTAATAAACAAAGAACAAGATGTAAATGGAAGAAACAAGAAGACAAAGGGAGGGGGGTGGGTGCGGTAGGGTAAATATGGGGGCGGTGATTGTAATTAAATATGGATTTTTATACCGTATAATATTGGTTTAAAATGGATTTGTACAATAAAAAAATTAATAAATATATAATTTAAAAAAATCATTGGATTCAGGTGTTTCAATCACCTCCATGGCCACAGGTGTAAAGAATCAAGCACCTAGGCATGCAGACTGCTTCTACAAACATTTTTGAAAGAATAGGTCGCTTTCGAGAGCTCAGTGAATTCAAGCATGGTAACGTGATAGGCTGCAATAGTGTACAATAAATCCATCCAAGAAATTTCTTTGCTACTAAATATTCCATGATCAACTGTTAGTGGTATATTATAATAAAATATAAAGTGGAAGCAAGAGGGAACAACAGCAACTCAGCCACGAATTGGTAGGCCACGTAAAATTATAGTGCGGGTTTAGCACATGCGCAAAAGTCTCCAACTATCTTCAGAGTCAATAGCTAAAGACCTCCAAACTTCGTGTGACCTTCAGATTAGCACAACACTGTGTAGAGAACAGGGGCGGACTGACCATTCGAGTACTCGGGCACTGTCCGAGGGCCTGGGGTCAGTAGGGGGTCCCATGAAATGCCCCTGGTACCTTTTTTATAGGCTTTTTTGAGTGTGGGCAAGGACACAGGGGCCCCATGATCCCCTATTGCCCGGGACTCCATGAGTTGTCAGTCCGCCCCTGATAGAGAGCTTCATGGAATGGGTTTCCATGGCCAAGCAACTGCATCCAAGCCCTAAATGATGTCATCAAGTGCAATGCAAAGCATTGGATGCAGTGGTGTAAAGCAAGCCACCACTGGACTCTAGAGCAGTGGAGACGTGTTTTCTGGAGTGACAAATCAGGCTTCTCTGTCTGGCAATCTGATGGACGTGTCTGGGTTTGGCAGTTGCCAGGAGAACGGTACCTGCCTGACTGCATTATGCCAAGTGTAAAGTTTGATGGAGGGGGATTATGGTGTGGGGTTGTTTTTCAGGGGAAGGGATTGGCCCCTTAGTTCCAGTGAAGGGAACTCTTAAGACATCAGCATACCAAGACATTTTTGAAAATTTCATGCTCCCAATTTTGTGGGTACAGTTTGGGGATGACCCCGTCCTGTTTCAACATGACTGTGCAAAGCAAGTCTGTGAAAATGCCCTGGAGGAGGGGCAAAACATGTTGACGCACCTCCGACTTTGCTGTCTAACGTACCGCATCACTTCCGGCGAGTGGAGTACACACCAATGTGCGGCGCTCTCAGGGGCCATCTTGCTAGAGGGAGAAATGAACCATGCCATTACATGCTGTCATCTATCGCTGACTGTGAGATCTTTACCCTGGCTATGTAGCGGTTTGGCTCCAGACACATTAAATAAATGCTGATTACATTCTTTTAAGATTTGAGTGGTGTGGTATTTGAATTTATCCTGTCTGAGTCTTATAGTATTACACTATATATATATATTTTTTTTCTCTGCACAATTTATTAATTCTTATGGAGAGTGATCTTTGGTCACCCTGGAGGTTGGAGGCTGGTTAAAATTCCAGTTTGGATCTCTGAGGCATTGAAAGAAAGACGTTAGTCTTACCTGCAACTTGGGATTTCTACCTAAACCTTGAGGTTGGAGGCTGATCCGAGGGGATCTTGGATTTCTGAGTCCAAAATTTAAGGCGTTTTATTCACCTATATCTGGTAAGTGCGGTGTGAAATATTCCCATAGACACACTCCTAAACGTTGTGGACAGCCTTCCCAGGAGATATGAGGCTGTTATAGCTGCAAAGGGTGGGCCAACTCAATATTTGATCCTATGGACTAAGACTGGGATGCCATTAAAGTTCATGTGCGTGTAAAGGCAGGTGACCCAATACTTTTGGTAATATAGTGTATATTTATTTATATATATATATATATATATATATATATATATGGATATTTTCTACTACAACAGCATATACTTAGGATATGTTTGCATATGTGTTTATATACTTTGTAATATACAACATAGCACCTAAAGAAGTACTCAAAAAAATTATGTAGCTATGGAATGTATTTCTTGGACAATTTACTTGCTATGATATTATTCCAATTTCTGTGCTCAGTGTTGTTCCATATCACAATTGTTTTTTTTTCTTATTATTGTAGCACTACCCCCTTAGGACTTGCTAAATTGTTTTCAGGTTCCCTGTGGATATGGACCCCACTCTGAAAGCCCAACCCCTGCTGACACCACAGTACACTCTTAATTAAAATAAATCACCAACAGAGAGTGAATTCACACATGGATTGAAGTAAACTAGTAAGAGGTTTTATAGCACACTTCAATATGGCTTGGTCACACAGCATAAACAGAATTAGATTGTGTAAAAATCAATTATTACTAGTGTCAGTTTGAACTTAAGGAAAAAGACAACACTTTTCACAGAACCTTAATTAGTATTAGCAGGCCTGCTTTTCAGGAACTAACCCAATACTTTCAACCTGAGGTGGTCTTACAGTTCCCAGTGAGCAGCTAAGACTATCAAACTGGCAGACTAGCTCACTTAGGGCCCTCAAGACCTGATGGAAAGGAGATAAGGAAATAAGGAAAATAGCTCTTTACCCCAAACCAACCAATGTTCTTTAGTAGTGAAGAGTCTTCTGCGTGCGTGATGGGGCCCAGTTGGTACACAGTGAGAAAAGGTGTGGACTATGGTTCTCTGAGGAATGTTGCAATAAAGAGAGATAAGAATAGTACTCCCCCTGGAAACAGCAATTTACTGGGGTAATGCTCCTTTAAGGCACTAGTCACTAGTTAGTCTAAAGCAACAAATGGTTAAGCTGGTAAAAGTGGTTGTTGGCACAGGGCAACTCTTCTCTGGACTGCAAGACTATTGGAACATTAGGAAAAGACCTCCTTAGTAGAGTGGATTGATGATGATGGTGACACAGCAGTGGTTCAGGCTGTGGACCAACCGTCCTGCTATCAGCTCTGATGATAAGGCTGTGCTAAGTGTGGTTAGACAATAGCATCTGAAGGATCTAGACCACGACTTCTAATAACTATGTGTAATGTCCGTGACTCTGTGCAGGAAAATAGCAAAGATGGAGCAAAGGTGTCAGTGTTCCCTGTCCTTGGTAATGCTTGGGCTTCTCTCATCTGAAGAATGGCATCTGGCAAATTCTGGCGGTCTCTCTCTCTTCTTTGATAAGGCCTCCACACACTCTCCCTCCCGCCTGCAGCATTCCGTCCAGTCATCTGCTAACAGATTAGCTTTCTCCACGATGCGGCAAGGTCAGTGATCAGCAGACTCTCCTTGCCTCTCTTCTCTCTCTCCTTCCATGGCCTGGTCCAGTCCTCCCACAGTTTGTGCACTCCCATCCACCACCAAATGTAGTTCTTTACTACACTGTTCCTTGGCAAAGTCCTGCGATTCAGCATACAAGTTCCATGAGACTGCTACAGGGTGTGAATGCCACTGTTCTGCAGGACACTGATATCTTTTGTTTGTTTTAGCATCCTGCATCCACTTATAGCAAGGTGTTTTTTATTATTATTATTATTATTATTATTTATTAGTATCATCATCACAATCATTTGTTATGTGAGACTCTACCATTGTCAGTGTTGGCTGAAGGTATGTAATTTTAGGCTGTGGTTTAAAAGTAGTAGTTTGCAGTATACTTCCACAGTATTACACAAACTATTGTGTTGGAAAATACTGTGGCCTTTTATTAATGTATTATATAGCGCCAGCATTTTCCTTGCTGCTGTAGAATATGAAGTAGTTTCATTATTAATCTCTTATGAGAGAAATGGCTTGCTGAATGATGCTTAATCACCAGGTAAATTAAGTAAACATAAATATTGAAAACGAATGCAGCCACCAGATCTGAGGACTGGAAAGCTATATTACATTCATTATTATTTTTTACAACTGTATTAGTATATATTATATCTACTGTATATTACATTTTATTACATTTTAGTCCTTGGGTTTGATACACTTTAACCGCTCCCCAACTGCCCTATAGCAGAACTAGTGCTACAGGGCAGCAGGGCTGCTCAAAAATCATGTATATACAGGGGCGGACTGACCATTTTGAAACTCGGGCACTGCCCAAGGGCCCGAGGTCAGTAGGGGGCTCCATGAGATGCTCCTGGTACCTTTTTCATAGGCTTTTTTGAGTTTGGGCAAGGACACTGGGGCCCCATGATCCCCTATTGCCCGGGGGCCCCTGAGTTGTCAGTCCGCCCCTGCGTATATAAATATGTGATTTTGCAGTTACAGGTAGGGTGCGCTGCCCTACCCATGCCACCATTGGTGGCTACAGATGTCGATCACCGGGTCCTGGCTGAAGATTCCCTGCCTGCACCCAGCAATCGCCAAATATCACTGACAGGGGAGAGACCTGTGTGTAAACAACTGCCCAGAACATGCTGCTTTGTATTTCTCTGCACAGCAGAAAAATACACAGCAGTATGTTTCCCCTAGTAAAACACACACAGCACACTTAGTAAAACAGCACACAGTTAACCCTTTGATCACCCAGATGTTAACCCCTTCCTGCCCAGTGTCATTAGTACAGTGTCAGTGCTTTTTATTAGCATTAACACTGTATTAGTGTCGTTGGGATGCCACTAGCAGTTATCCAGTTCCCCCCCCCAGTGTCACAATGCCCACTGCAGTCCTGCTATAAGTCGCTGATCGCTGCCATTACTAGTATAAAAAAACATTTTTTTTAAAAAGTCCAGTATATATACCGCTATTTGTAGACGCTAAAACTTTCACGTAAACCAATTAATTTACACATATTGGGAATTATTTTTAGAAAATACATGTAGCAGAATACATTTTGGCCTAAATTTATGAAGAAATTAGATCACAGAGGTGATCAAATACCACTGAAAGAAAGCACAATTCATGGGAAAAAAGGACATAAATTTAATTTGGGTGCAGTATTGCATGACTGCGCAATTGTCAGTTAAAGTAACACAGTGCCATATTGCAAAAAATGGCCTGGTCAGGAAGGTGGGTAAATCCTCTGGAGGGCAAGTGGTTAATAGTAAATAGAAAACCCAACTTGGAAAATGGATGAAACTCAAAAAGGTTTTGCTGAAAAAAATAATAATAAAACTATTATACAGGATTTATGTAGCACTAACAGTTAGTGCAATACTTTACAAAATAAAGATTACTGAATAATGTCAGAAACTGATGGGGCTAAACGGTCAAGTCAGATTTGTGGAAGTCCTTATAGCATGCTGATAGCAGGAGAGAGCACAGTGACAGATAGAGGAGCACAAACAGAGGTAGGAATGTGGAGGAGACCTGTAATGAAACTGCAGCCGTAAAAGACTCATTCCCTACCCTTGCCAGACAGGACTATAATGTGTGGCAGAGCTGTGTCAGTTTCAAAAATGGACAAAATACAAAAGCTTTAAGTGATAAAACAGCTCTCATATATGTATTTATTCTGTGTATTTACTGTTTTCAGATACAGTTGCAAGAAAAAGTATGTGAACCCCTTGGGATTACGTGAAGTTTTGCATGAATTGGGCATAAAATGTGCTCTGAACGTCATCTAAGTCACAACAATAGAAGAACACAGTCTGCTGAACATAATACTACACAAACATTAGATGTTCCCATGGTTTAATTGCACATAACATGTAAACATTCACAGTGCAGGGAGGAAAAAAGTATGGGAACCTTTGATTTAATAACTGATTGACCCTCCTTTGGCAGGAATAACCTCAACCAAACGTTTCCTGTAGTTGCAGATCAGACCTGCACAACGATCTGGAGTAATTTTGGAACACTCCTCTTCACAAAATTGTTTCAGTGTAGAAATATTCTTGGGATGTCTGGTGTGAATCGCTCTCTTAAGGTCATGCAACAGCATTTCAATCGGGTTGAGGTCAGGACTCTGACTGGGCCACTCCAGAAGGCGTATTCTGTGCTGTGGCAGCCATTGTTTTGAAGAATTACTTGTATGCTTTGGGTCATTGTCCTGTTGCATCACCCATCCTCTGCGGAGCTTCAGTTGGCGGACAGATGGTCGTACGTTTTCCTGAAAATGTCTTGATAAACTCTGGAATTCATTTTCCCATCAATGACAACAATCCGTCCAGGCCCTGAGGCAGCAAAGCAGCCCCAAACCATGATGCTCCCTCCGCCATGTTTTACAGTGGGGATGAGGTTTTGATGTTGGTGTGCTGTGCCTTTTTTTCTCCTCACATAGTGTTGTGTGTTCTTCCCAAACAACTCAATCTTGGTTCCATCTGTCCACAGTATATTTTGCCAGTAGTGCTGTGGAACATCCAGGTGCTCTTTTGCAAACTTCAAACGTGCTACAATATTCTTTTTGGACAGCAATGGCTTCCTCCGTGGTGTCCTCCCATGTACTCCATTCTTGTTTAATGTTTTCCTTATTGTAGATGTGTCAACAAAAATGTTAGCATGTGCCAGAGATTTCTGTAGGTCTTTAGCTGACACTCTGGTATTCTTCTTTACCTCATGCAGCATTCTGCGCTGTGCTCTTGCAGTCATTTTTACAGGACGACCATGCCTAGGGAGAGTAGCAACAGTGCTAAAATTTGTAGACAGTCTGTCTTACCGTGGACACATGAACATCAAGGCTTTTGGAGATACTTTTGTAACCCTTTCCAGCTTCATGCAAGTCAACAATTCTTGATCATAGGTCTTCTGAGAGCTCTTTTCTGCGAGGCATGGTTCACATCAGAGAGTGCTTCTTGAAACCAGTAAACCCAAAACAGGTGTGTGTTTTTTTTTAAGGGCAGGACAGCTGTCAGCAACACATCCAATATCATCACACTGATTGGAGTCAAGGTTGGCTCATCCTGGCTCCAATTAGCTCTGGGAGAAGTCATTAAGCTAGGGACTCACATACTTTTTCCTCCCTGCACTGTGAATGTTTACATGTTATGTGCAATTAAACCATGGGAACATCTAATGTTTGTGTAGTATTATGTTCAGCAGACTTTAAGTTGTTCTTCTATTGTTGTGACTTAGATGACGTTCAGAGCACATTTTATGCCCAATTCATGCAAAACTCCACGTAATCCCAAGGGGTTCACATACTTTTTCTTGCAACTGTAGTTAAATGTTGACCATGTGTTTGATATGTATGAAATCTTGATCATGTGACAGAAAATGCACATGATCAGAATACAGCCTGTTGCAAATCGATCTCAATCTTTGATAAATAACCTGCCATATACAAAAAGATTAAAATGTGGATACTTATTTTATTGTGACATGCTGTATGCATAAATAATGTATCACTAATTAGTAACAGTGTTACTCTATTTGTACTTTTTTTATATATTTTATTTTTTCACTTTACCAGTAGAATATATTGTAGTGTTTTTTTCTTAAACTTTCTGAAATCATTATCAATCACTTTGCAGTTAGCACCCTGAAATTTTCTAGCTACATTAAAATGGTAACAAATACAGGGCCTGCTAAACCTTATTTGTATTCCAAAGTGATATGCATAATAAGTACAGATAAAGAACACTTGCTCTGAGGCTGTGACACTGAAGACAAATTGCTAAAGAAAAATCCATTAGCACCTCTGGTGTAAGGAGACACCTCAGTGTGTTCTAGTTTTGTAAGTTATCAGGCAGATTTAATTTTAAAGTTCTAATATGGGTTATGTAATGACAGAAAATGACAGAAACACACTTGCTTTATACACTTGTACTATAGTCTCTTTAGAATCAGTTGCTCATTCGGGTAACTGTTCTACATGTAAATATCACCATCGAGCAATGTGATTTACTTGAACTAGCTATTGACTTTGGGTGATGCAAATGTTTGACATTTTTCTTTCTTTCAAAAAATACGTTAATTTTCAATATTTGTATTGATTTTATTATAGCAGAGTCAACAGTGTAATATAAATTGCACCATTCGCAAGTTACTAAAGCCAATGAAGTTATAGACAATGTAGCGCACCCGTAAGTGTTTGCTTTTTATAAGTAACAGTGCAGATCCTACCTGAACCTGGTGACAATCTTGAAATGCCATGACCCATTAACTACTGTTAAGACAACGGTAGGCTGACTGCATGCTGAAGGTAAGAAAACGGTTAATGCAAACAGAGCAACAAGTTCAATAATCAAAAGTGCAATCAAAGTATTGGCATTAGAACATTAACAAATGAGATATAGCAGTTCACTTTACTCTGTATAGCTAAGTTAACTGTATTATAAGTCTCAAGCTTGTCTGTTGCTGAGGTCATAGATTTGTGTTGAGGCCCACAACTGCACAGTCACAAATCCCTTTGTGATGCAACAAAGTAGCAAACGACTGCCAGTGGGCTTGGCCTTTGGCATCCCCATTGCTAAAACTTCAGCTGTGACCCACAAAGGCTTTATGTATAGGCTCAGGAATAATCTAAAAACTGTGCATAAGAAAGCTCAAGTGGCTGCTGATGCTCAAGGTTAAGAAGATCTGTTGTTTAGGAGTATGAGCTCAAGATTTGCAGCCCAAAGATTAGGTGCTGTTGATGAATCTGGGTCTCCCCAGGAAGCATAAGCTAGCTGACCAATGGAGTTCCTAGCACTACATTGCCTACAAGCAATTGTCAGGTCTTCCTTTATATCAGATTCACCCTGATTGGAAGACATTGCTTCTGAATACTTGGCATTGAAAGCCATCTCCTGCCTCTGAATGAAGCTGTTTGAATGCCAACACAGACTGAATAGGATTGAACTGACCCTTCTTGAGGAGGAAGAAGAAGAGGATGACTGGGAGAAAGAGCCTTTCCTTGTGGTGGCTGTAGCCACCCTATCCAAGCACAGAGAAGTGCTTTAGAACCATTAGGCCTGGAGCTCCAGAGTTTCTGACCCTGGTTAGGGTAGTAGAGGATTTGGGAGAGACATCTACTGCACAACCTAAAGAGAGGGATGAAATTTCTCCACAACCCCTTGAGCCTGAAAGGGAGCCCATCACCTAAGACACTCAATAGACTGAGTTGTCGCCCTAAAACATTGACCTATGTTTCAGAAGGGAATAGTTCTCAAGAGGTCACCATCACTGTGTGTAGATTCTTCAATGCAAGGATACATCCCATCACAATAACATTGGATGATACCCCCAGCCCATGTCCCGACACACCATAGTTAGTTAAGTTATTTAGTTTGTTAACCAAACAGTTTCGGTGGATATTTGT